TAGTTATTCGACTACTTTAGAACACGAAAGTGTTCCATGCATGCACAGCAAGCGTTTATCCGGCTGCATTCCATTACTTCGATCCAATCATTTCTACATCTTTTTATAGGTTATTATAAAGTTATATGTGAGGTCGGTTTCGCTTTTACCCTGCCATTCTACGACTAATGCTTCATTGTAGCTGTATTTTGCTATCATCTTCTGTAGTACTTGTGCAAATAATATCTCAATCCCTCGTCATATATCGTCTCTCAGCTAAAATATTCTCCGGATGTGCAGCTACCACCGTAGCCCAAGCAAAATCTGATTGATTCATTGAAAAATTATGATAAGTAAAATCTAAGTTACAAGTCGGATGCTTAGTAGAATTACTTTTAATTAATTTACTAATAAAATTGATAGACATCTTACATATATCTCTGCCGAGGATTTCATAAATTGTTAAACATTTTAGCAGTTGCACATTATACTCGTAGAATCATCGAAGTGAAAAGTTTCTTCATTCAAAAATTAGTAGAGCTTTCTGCTCAGGTTATCAGAAATAGCCAATAACGAGACAAGGAATAAAGGATGACATGCAGGAAATGGATTGAAGGACAGAAAGTTAATCCAGATGAATATCCAAATATGGGGGTTAGCATGAGAAAGTCCATTAAAACGGGTTCGGCTTTTCCCGTTCCTCATTCTGCTGAGTTTTAGCTATCCGCGAAGATTTTCGTGTGCTTAATCCGTCGCATTAACTCGGACATATTTGAGATTGTGGAATGAGACTTTGAACTGCATTTTGAAAGGATCGGTGTGGGGGGTGTACTACCGTTTCTTGTGACAACATGGGACCATTAGACATCGACCATTTTGGGGAAATAATACGGTTGTTAACGTTTGTACGAATGTATAAAGACAATTGTGCGAATGCACCCTCTAAAGTGTTTCCTCGTTACTGTAATATTCCCCACGACTCCTTCTCAGTTACTCCACGGCTGTAAGGAAACTCTACTGGTAGTTTGATTGTGTTTTCTTGCCATTGCGTTTCGAAGACGGTTATCCGACATCGATCGGTCGTCGCTCATCGCCAAGGCGAATCTTTGGAGATCCATATTCGGACGTCGTTGAAATAGGAAGCTGCTGTGAAGCGCAACACGTCAGATACTTTAGTAGCGCAGTTTCTGATCAGAAATGAGGGGCCAGAATTTGAATCTCAGAAGTGAGGGCTACTAATGATCGGCATTCAGCAATAAGGTAGGTCTTTAAGCATTTAAATGGCATGATTGAGGCAACACCGCCAGTCGATGACTTTCTAAAGTTGTCACTTGTCGCTTGGTCATTCTCAGTGATGTCAAACGCAGCGGCGCCAGTGATTATTCTTGCCGCCGTACACTGTCTTCTTGCGACAGCGATCGATTATCGGCTAAAGATGGCTTTACCAGGAAACACCATAATACTAATCGAGCTCGATGTTGTATAGCCCATTCTTGACATCGTGGTCTGTCCTAAGAAATAATCTCATAATCATCATCGACTTGTATTTGGAGGTAAACTCGAAAGACGATCTTTTTCTTCCCTCTCGTCTCCTCTACGGCTTTGCAACCGGAGTATCAGGATATAGTAAACAAATTTGTTACAGTGGTATCAAGAAGGCTGTCATCACTCTCACCTTAGCCAATTCTTTCCGTGCACATGGAAGTCACCACCGGCTGGTTAAACACTTTAGTTTTACTCCATTAGGCTATCCATACCTTACCTCAGGAACTACTGCCCTCCTTATATTTACAAGACGTTTGACTTTAAAAGGCGAGTATCGTTAATACTGGCGAGTATTACCCTACAGTTGAAGAAACCATCAGTCTTGTGGCTTTCTGTCACTGCCTCCGCCGCTGACCGAGTGAATTCATTCATTCAAAATTGATGACCTCAACCCGTTTCTGGACTACCGAGGCACGTCTATGATCACTAAATTCCATGTGGTCAATTTTAACATCCACCTGTTGTCCTCAGGTGAAGTACGTGGCCGATCCATGTTCTATTGGCGTTATTAAAAGTAGCGACCACGTCCGTTAATCCTGTCATGGAGAATTATCTCGTGCTTTACATTTTATCGAACAGTGCCAGTAGTAATGGAAGTGGTTACACATCTTGGGCTGTTTTGATTGATACTAAATCTGTAGAAGTGTGATCGTGATAAGTTAATTGATAAGGAATATCCGAACGACTTTCCGTCTGACCCTGCATGAAACCTCTTTTAGACCATAGAACTCGGTCGCCTTGCTAATCCATCATTGGATGCAGCAGATGTCTATCAGCAGGAACACGTAGTCGACGGAAATGTGTTTTGGCCAACGTGTTGCTGAACACATCTGTTGAGAACAGGCTGGTGTCGCACTTGATTTGTCTGGCCGACCTTGTCCCCGGCTTGTATGGAGATGAGCAATGCAATGAACGATGTTGAGTCCCGGACCAGGCGTTGAACACAGAAATGCCACTTCGACTCCTAGGCCATTTCTTACCAATGATACTTTGAGGACTTCGCCCTCGGTGAGTGGATTAACTTTACTCAACTATTTCTGTCGGATGCTCGGACGAGCGGAAAAAAGCTACGAGTGCCAGAAATGCGCTCGAGGATTTAGTCAATACGCCATTGTCGTCGATCACCAGTCCATGGACCCCTTTTTGTATAGACGTTTAAGCCGAAGGCCTGCTTAGCTGTCACGAACGGAAGTGGCAGGGGACGGAAGAACGTTGCTGAAATCTGCGTCTGATCTCCGTCACTGACTGTAAGCTGTTCCGAACCAGTCGGTCTACTGTTTATTTAGTGAGTAATCGCTGCGCATAGATTAGTCACAGGCGCCAGACACTGCAGTCTGAACCGTTTCTTTTTATGACATTTTTGGTCTCTGCCTTGTCCAGCGTTGGTTTGGCGTTTTTACAAAGTTTTTTCATCCAAAGCAGTGTACGATTTGTGACATAGCCCTGTGGTTTATCTTAAAGCGGTACTAAACGGTGAAGAGAGGTAGCGACCCTTTAAACTCGACTTCACTGTGACTCTCGGTGATACCATAATTCATTAA